GATAGGAATTTCCAAACAAAAGTTTTCTCATGAATTATTTCTCATTTCCGCAATTTGAGTGTAGAACTGAGAAACCAGAATATTCTTTGAGGTTCTCATTAAGAAAATCTTAGTGCACTATTCTTCAAAATGTCTAACCGATACAAAGATCTTTAGTGAGATCAGTCTGCAGTATGCTTGCAATGTTAACGATTAACAGTTCATTGGCGCCCCTTTGGGGTACCAGACATGACTAAGTCCTCCTTTAACATAAGTGCACTTGAACGACAGACTCTTATTGCCCATGTAATACAACAGCTACGATATCATTCACATATGCCTTTTCAAAACTATTTTCTTTGAATAACAGTAGCTAGACATTGCACATATCAGAATTCCCGAAAACATACCAGGATAAAAGTATCACTTTTCATAATAGTAATTATAGCATATGACAAATTAATGCCAGGTCTCAATGTTAGACCCACGCCTATCCATGTATATATTTCCGCAGATGATAGATTTAAAAACACGAAAGAACCTTTCTTATAAGTATCAAACACGACCAAATTGATTAGCTTATTCACTCTTACCGCGTACATTTAATTAATAAATAGTCAAAAATCGTTCCATAGTAACTACAAATGACTCACTTAATTGATAAATATTTTCATAAGATGAAAACAAACATACAATATCCAATTATTTTCTTCTTTTTCATACATTTATGCAAAATCGAAAAAGACATATGCTGTTTTAGCTGATCATCTACTTCAGCAAATGCACATTCTAAATCCACAAAAAAAAATATACGAACCGAAAAACTAATTCTTTTCCTTTCAAGTTCGTTTTCGATGGAGTGCATTTAACTGTTTTAATGATGTTTTCCATCCATACATTGTCACTATATTCTATTCTTCGAGAAAAACTGGTCTTAGAATACATACAAAAATATTTCTCCTTTTTTATCATTGAGTCTCTTTTGAAACTCATCAGATCTAACCCCTTCACATTCTCTTGTTTAATCTTTTTAATTTAACGCCCTTCAAAAAGCAACTGTCGAGTGTACCAGCTAGTCGCTCATCGACGCCCCTCTGGGGCGCCACTCGCGACTAGCTGCTGCAACCTTTGATCTTCTTCTCCCATAAAATAGTTCTTTTCACTTAAACCCTGTTAAATGACAGATTGCTCTTATTTAGAATATTAGATTTATAACACCATCGCTCCACATGAGCAGCTCCGGACCAACAGTTGCCTGTTATTTATTCCTAATTTCTTTAACCCAATGGTTTAGCCAATACGGTAAAATTTTATTAGGGCTTCTGGTTTGGAGAATCTTAGTTGATTATTCTTGATAAATGCAGGTTTCACGTAGATCTTTTGCTAAACAACATTAGAATACGTTCGCAATTTTAGCGACCACTAGTTCGCCAACACTTCTCTCAGGCCTTGCTCATAGTCCCTTGTTGCATTCTTGGAATACATTAAAACAATCATTGGTTATTCAGCATTTATCCTACAGGCCGTAACTTCATTTACAGGATTCTTTTAATGCTACTTCTCTCGACTTAAGCAGAGTGCACTCAAAAAAGGCCACTTAACTCACAACCACTATGAATAATCATGAATCCCACAATGTCGCACACATTAGACTGAGTGCCAATGGTTTGTAAACACTGTTTCATCACACTACGACTTACTGAAACACTCAACCCATTAGATCACACCCTGATTCATGTCTACAACGATACTATGAAGAGGCTACCGAAACTAAACAGCAATTACAAACTCCAAATACGCAGAAGGATTATCCATATTTCGGGTTTTCATTTTTTCAAATGCCTTTTGCTTTAAAAAAATTGACTTTTTCCTTAGACAATAATTCAGATAAAAAAGGATGATTTGTCTCATACAAAAAACTACTTGAGTTTTTGAACAGCTGACTTGAGATTCGGGTTCTCCGACCTGAATTTGCTTTCGTCAACCTTTATAAAATATCGTTATTTTCTCAAAAAACCCTTTTCTTGACCCTAAAACTCAATTCAAAATTTTAAGAAACTGACTTCAGATTCGGATTCCCCGATCCCGATTTACTTTCGTCAACCTTTATAACAAGAATAACTGCATCACATAAAAAAATGAAAGATGTATCTCTCCTGAAAATTTCAGCTATCCATACCGTTTCATTTGCTCACGGCAGCCCCGTGAAAACCGGAATTTTGATAAATGTGGGGACTTTCAGGATAGGCTTTCTCCCAAGATATGGGTTGTCTGGGGTGTTGGTTATTAGAACTTGGAAGTACTCCCTTTGGGCTACAATTCTGTAAAAAAATTAGCGTGGGATCTCCAAGAACGGGCCCAGGGCACTTAGTGTAAAATACGAAAAAATGAGCCTTTTTATATGGGAAATCTACTCAAGTGCAATTCAAAATTCCTCCAAGGAATTGAGTATGTGATATAAATATTATGTAGTAAAAATCAGCATTAAATTCTCTATTGCCCTGTATCAAAATATCCTTTCACAATGAAAAAGAAAATTTTTACGAAAAATTCCCCTACCCCCTTCCAGGCCTCTTTCTGTAACATTTTATTCTCACAATCGCTGTACCCCCCTAGGACGATTTTTCGTAAAATTCTTTTTTTTCATTTTCAAAGGATATTTCGATATAGACTAATAGGGAATTAGACGCTGATTTTTACCATATAAAATTTATGTCACATAGTAGAATCCTTGGAGGAATTTCGAAGTGCGCTTGGGTAGATTTCCCATAGAAAAAGGCTCATTTTTTCGTATTTTGCACTAAGTGCCCTGGAGCCGTTCTTGGAGATCCCACGCTAATTTTTTTAGAGAATTGTAGCCCAAAGAGAGTACTTTCAAGTTCTAATAATCAACGCCCCAGACAATCCATAATATTTTGGGAGAAAGCCTATTCTAAAAGTCCCCACATTTATCGAAATTCCGTTTTTCACGGGAGTGCCCTGAACAAATGGAACAGTATGAATAGCTGAAACCTTCAGCAGAGATACATCTTTTAGTGTCCTATTAACAGTAAAAATTTGAGAGTCATACATAATTCCCATCAAAAGTTATGAAGTGCCAAAGTTACCATCTCAAGTCATATTTTTCAAAAAAAATTCTTTTTCAAAAAAATTTCACGTGTTTTCGAAAAAATTTATTTTTTCTCAAAACGTCTGTATCTGTATTAAAAATATTTTTTCAAAAAGATGTTTTTTTGACCTTTGACCTTTGACCCGGCCACAAGAATACATACATACATACATACATACATACATACATATAAACGCATTTTATTTTTTTCATATGACCCTCCCTTCAGTCGAGGGAATAATGTTGGCAAATTTTCCATAGTAAATCTCTATTAACAGAATCATAAGCTTTTTGAATATCTATAAAACACATAAACAATGGCTTATTATATTCTCTTGACTTTTCCATTATCATTTTCACAATAAATATTTGATCAATAGTTGATCTATTTGATCTAAAACCGGCTTGCTGTTTCAATAGTTGTTTATCGATCAATTTTTGAATGCGGTTAAGGATTACACGAGTAAATAATTTACTTGCTACCACTAATAAAGAGATACCACGATAATTATCGCATTGTGTTTTGTCGCCTTTATTCTTAAATAAACGAATTAATATGGCTAGATTCCAATCGTCGACAATTTCTTCATTTTACCAAATATCAACGAATATTTCATGGAGCCATTTAAGAACTGGTAGTCCACCTGCTTTTAATATGTCAGCACTGATGTCATCATTGCCAGAAGCTTTTCGATTTCTCATTTGTTTTAATGTTTCCTCAATTTCTTCTAAAGTAGGTGGTTTGCTCTGTCTATCTCTTTCTTCTGTTGATGTTGATGGTATTGAGATTTGATGAATAAGATATGGGTCAACGACAGAATTAACATTTAGTAATTCACAGAAATATTCTTTCCAACGATCCAATTTATTCCTAAAATTAATAAGTAACTTATCATTTTTATCTTGAATAGCACTATTCTCTACATTTTGTTTTCCGCCCTTTAACTATCTAATTATTGCATAAGCAGATGCCAAATCGTGGTTTATGATAGCTGTTTCAATTTCTTTACTTAATTCATCCCAGTATTCAATTTGTCTTTCATTTACCATTGATTTAACTAATTTTCTATAGTTTATGTATTTCTTTATATATTTCTGCTCTTCCGATGTACCGCGATGATTTTGCTAAATCAAATAAGCAGATGACTTCTTCTCTACTGTCTTCAATATGTCATCAGTCAACCATTCTTTTCTCTTTTTGTTAATATTATTATCAAATTTAAAATGTGTTTGTGTAGCTTCTTTAATCGCTTGTGCAAAAGTAGACTATTTTTCATTGATATTACCATCATAATTTTTTCTATTTTCGAAAATCTTTTCAATATCATTTCGAAAATGTTTAACTCTGCTGTCATCTTGTAATTTTAAACGATCTAAGTGTAGCTGTTTTTGTTGGCTCTTTTTTCTTCTTAATTTCAGATGCAATTTAACTTTAGATCGCATAAGATGATAATCAGTTCCAATACTTTCAGCTGCTCTTCTATAGACTCGCACATCTTCAATATTTGATTTGAATTTCTTGTTCACTAATGTATAATCTAACATGTGTCACTGTTTGTTGCCTGGATGCTTCCAAGATGTTTGATGCACTAATTTATGTTGAAAGAAAGGGTTCGAAATGACCATACTATTCGTTAAACAAAAATCAATAAGTCTATTTCCATTTTCATTTTTAACATCAACTGCATGTGGACCAACGACCTGAGGTACAGTTAAATGTTCTTGTTTACCAACACGAGCATTGCAGTCATCCATTAAAATGATCATATCACCCTTTGGCACCTTATCAATGGTCTCTTGTAATTGTATGTAAAACCTATCACATTTATCAATCATTGATTTGTTATGTGGATTAACTGAAGCATAAACAGCAATATATGTAACATTTATTGGTGCACAATACATTCGAATCTTAATAATTCTTTCATTAACTGCCTCCCATTCTGAACCCGATAGCTTCCAAATATTCGTTGCGGTTTTATCTAAACAAATTGCTACGCCATGTGCTGATCTTGTTTTATTAACTTTTGGGAGTCCGGAATATATCATTGTAAAATCACCTATTAGTTTTGTTCCTGACTCATAAATACCTGTTTCACATAATGCAGTCACTTGTACATTACACTTTTTTAATTGTTTTATAATTAACTGTTGTTTATAGTAATGAAAACAAGACCGTACATGCCATCCACCAAAATACACTGGTTTCTGTGCATTTAAGCACTTTTTCCATGCCTTTTTGTTAACCAGAAAAGTTTAACGTCCTATCGACAGATGGCTACCGGTAGCCCAGGGTCGCCTACCTACTACTGTTGAGACAATAATATGTCCCTGTGGAAGTTTAAAAAACTTCCCCGGCAGGCGGATAAGGGAGAAGACTATAAGAGGAGAATGCTATAAGGAGGTAAAAATATAAAGGATAAAACTATGAGGGAGTAAGGTACTAAAGAAGAAAGACTATAATGATGGAATGCTATAAAGGAGTGGAGCGACAAACAGTACAGCTACAAAAGCGATAAGAAATATAAGGCAGTAAGGCTACATAAGCCATTAGAGATATGAGAATATCACACTGTAGAGCTTCTATGTACAAATTGTCCAGTGTTTGTGTGTTTGTTACCGAGTGAAAGCTTAAAATGTTGAGGTTGTACGTTAATGTAAAAAATGCTACCATACAGTATGCACGGCTTCTCGCTAGTTTGATGATATTTGGCGCAAACCACATTAAAAACATATTGAATCACTGATTGTTTTGTTGTATTTCCACGAAAAGCCCTAAAATCCACAATCATGAAATTTTCGCTCATTGTCATGATTATATCTATAGAACAGCTGAATAGATTGATCTGAAACTTTGTGTGAGCATTCATAATTGATGAACTTACCCATGTAAAGTTTTTTTTGGGTCCTGATCACTTTGCCGACAAATTGTTTTACTAACACGTACACTTTTCAGACAAAATTTCTTCATATCTTAGCCTATTAAATCTGATAGTTTCTAGGGTACATGACGAAGGTGAGACGCAGGAGTGAACTGTGAGGATGAAAGTAGAAGCAGGGTGCAGAATGAACTGTGAGGAGTGTTATTGGAATGATGGTCATCCTCTTCACCCTCATCCTCACTCCAAATGCACTTTTCTCAGCTCACCCTGAATTCTTACTTCATCTGCATTCTCAAAGCTTACTCTCACCCTCATCCTCATTATATATCCTGAAAACTATCAGATCCAACAGACTAAGATATGAGCAAATTTTGTCAGCAAAATGAGTTGTCAACAAAGGAATTTGTGGGCCAAGTGGTGTTGACCCAGTGATATGTCGACCAAGTGATTGTCAGTCAAGTGAACACGATCCAATTCTTCATCCCAAAACAGTGACTGTTAAGTACTTTCTAAAGTACTTAATAGTCACTTTTTTTGAGGTTAAAAACTTTACATGAGTAGGGTCATCAACTGCGAATAATCATACCAACTTTCCGCTCAATCAGTTGAACTATTCTTGAGATATAGCCATGATAATGGACGGAAACTTCATGACCATCGATTTTTGTCCTTGTCGTAAAACTTTAATAAAAAAAAAAAAAGCGGTGATTTAATATATTTCGCTCTGGTTTCTGTCAAATATCATGAAATAGTTGCGTCTATTACATATGTGAAAATGAACGAAATGCCGGGAATGGCTTAGTGGCTCTATGCGTCTGATTTTAGTCAGACATTAGAAGGTTTGATCCCTTCCCCCGACATGGTGCATTCGGTGTCAAGATATACGGTATCAGAAGAATAAACAAAAGAAAAGCAACGATGCACGCTACATCGTCATCATTGGCTCGAATTCGATTTTCATTTTGTTCGTTTTCACTTCTTTGTATTCTTTCTCTGTTTGTTATCGTTATCTTGTCCATTACATACATTCGTAAGCGTCCCCAAAAATTGTAAAAAACCTCCCAAAAAAAATGTATGGATGTCACGAATAAAATTCAACATAATTAAAAAAAACCGAACGAAATCAGAAGTGTTCGATTAAGAACTGCCTAATGCTTTATGTCATGACTTACATGGAATGACTCTTACATACAAATATATAGTAATAAATCATCTACTAGTGAAGGCGATTGAATTTTAACGTATGGAATTTTATTTATTAACAGTAAGAAAGAAAAACAAAACATTTTTTCATAGGACCGAAAGTTTTTGGATTAGTCTATATGGACGTGGATGGTTTGTGAACATACATCCCGATGTGGGAGATGATTCTAAAGCCCATACGCTCGTAAACAGGCCGACCAAGTTCTGTAGCATGCAGCACAATGCCGTGTTTTGCGTGTGGAAACATTTCTAGTGCTCTTTCAATGGATGCACGCAAAGCAACCTCTGCATAACCATTCTACATAAACATGAACAAAAAACATATCAACAAATGTGAAGGACATATGAGTTATCATAAGACATACTTTGCGATGCTGCGCAGAAGTTGCGACTAATGCCACATATAAGCATTTATCAAGGAATACGGTTGTCGCAGTTGCAACTGGCTTGCCGTTAACCGAAACTACACAGCAGACCTGCCTGTCGAAGTCAACAATGAATGCGCGATGCTCCACTATATTTATAGCAATGGATGGGTTCATGTTATACGCCTGGACATTTAGCAACGCAGCATCGTGAATGTCTTGTTGGGTAGTCGCAAATTTTATTTCTGTCGTTGGCAATGGTCTCACAGGAGATAGTAACCTTGTAGTTTGCATGCACTTCACATCAGAAGCGTAGGCAAACTCAGCCACCAAGCAGACCTCCTGTAATCGTTCAAGCACATCAGAAGGTAGCCACTCAGGTTCAATAAACAACACCCATGGACAACTCAATTGCATTTTCTTCACATACGCTTTGATCTCTTCCAATCGTTGTCGCATATCCAATTCATCTGCGATGGCAGTTGACAAAAAGAACCCGTTCATAAATATCAAATCGCTTTGTGTCAAACAGACAGTAACACCACAATCTAGTTCAGCGATGATACCCTCCTTTGCATGCCGTGCACAATCATACACAAAAGACTTCCATTGCGAATTGATTGACAGTTCTTCCATTCTACAATCGATATTCTTGAGTGAATACGCTTTGTTCTCAATAAGTCTGAATGTCTATCTTTTGTCTTTTATATGTTTTCGTCTTGGATAGTTTGAGGAAAAAATCGGAAGTGCATACTTCATGGATGATCATATGTTAGAAAAAAACAAGAAAAGAGATAGCTGTATTAACATTAGTCATTGAAATAATATTTGGCATCATACACTTCGTAGATGATCACATGCTGAAGAAATAAAGAAGAGAGGCAGCTGTATTGACATTAGTCATTGAAATAATATTTGGCATCATACACTTCTTCAATGGGTTTTATGTTAGAAAACGAAAGGAACTAGACAAGTGTATTAACATTAGTCACTAGAATTATATTGAGTGTCATATATTTCATAGGTGATCGAATGCTGAAGAAATAAAGAGAAGAAGCAGCTATATTGACATTAGCCATTGAAATAATATTTGGCATTAGAGGTTCAAACAGGCCATGAGACCTGCCGGGCTGCCTGAGCCTGCCTGTCTGTGACAGGTATAGACCACCATTTTAAGACCTGCGCCTGTCACAGACAGGCCATGACAATCTCTAGAACAGGCCAGACAGGCTATCTGGTCTATCTACTTTCTTTTTTTTTTGAAATCAAAGTTTCATCTGATAATTTAATGATATCGTAAGCAGATAGATAAAAACTTCATTAATTATCATAAAACCGGATTTAAGCGCGATGAATTAGACAAATCCTGCTGAATAAATATCAAAGATATGGATAGAAAATCAATTCGCTTACCATTCTGTAAAGATCATCAGCATAAATTTTCATAGTTATTATCATCTACTTGTTACGTTTCTCAATTTCAGATAATTTTATTGAGTTGAAATCTTTTTTTCTGTTCCAAATTAGTCACTGATTTAATTTTGTTTTTCTCTTCATTCCAATTCTTTGAGTTACATTGTGATCTGATGGGAAAGGTTTATTAAGAATCTTCTTGAACAAAAAACCATATATCTTCCACAAGATAATTATCTTAGTATCGTTTTAATTTTGTCGACATATCACCAGCGTTGATTTATTAAATTTATAATCGATAATGAACATTTGCAACTAATGTGAATATCTGTAAAAATTGTCGATACTTAGAGACACCATCAACTCTGGAAAATGACAGAGTTCGAAATTGATATTATTTATACATCCATACTGCGTAATCATGTTATTTTGATCCTGCTGAAGCATAACATTTCTTTTGGATACAAATAGTCATAATCACTTTCATTTTTATTTATACAAAATCTTTAAAAATTAAAGATCGAATGGTCAAGAAGACATAAGGAACTTTTTAGGCGAAATTTTATTATTTCTACAATTTTATTAATTTTCTTCTAAGTTCATTTTGAAAGATATGTGTCACGAAATTCTCTTCAAAAATTCTATATAATGTTTTATTACAAAATATAAAAACAGGAAGTTACACGAAAAATATTCAAGGTCTTCGAAGCTATCAGCTCTCTAAAGTACGTTTTAGTATTCCTTAACTTTTTTCTAAGCGATGGCAAAACGATAAGCATATATGAAATCAAATTTTTTGTTGCTGTGAAGAATGTAGATCTAGCCCTTATAACAGAAGTGATGCAAAAGGTTGATTTTACTTCCAGTAACATCCTACATTTTTAATAGATTAGGAATTGATAATAAATGGACTTTGATTTGTTTTCATTGAAATCAATTCGCTACCAATGGACAATCCATAAAAAAAACCATAATTTTAGTCATTTAAAATGCATCTTTTGTGATTTTTCCAAGTATTATATTTTACGTGAGAGTGTATCTGCACCCAGGAGAGCAAAAGACGGGTAAAAAGACTAGTTAGTTTCACCAGTCATGATGCCCCGTCAGTGAATAGTCTTTTTCTCAAAACGGCCTAGTCATGACTAGTCTAATATTATTGGGAGTCCGTACATCGCGTCCTGACTAG